ATGTAAATACTCTTAGTTTTCAAAATAAGTACACACAAAAATAAGCAGTAAATTAAATTATTCTAAAGACCACCCTAACAGACCGGTAAGGCGCACTTCGAAACCTGTGTCCATATAGTCCTCTCTACAGCAGTATTTTTTATTAAAACATAAATTTCCAATGACTAACAAATAATAGGTAACAATAGTCCCTAATTTAAAAATACACTAAACCTGAATTAATAATTGAATAGTTTTTTTCAATTACCCCAACAAGATGTGTAAACTTGGTTAATAAGTTTATTTTTAAAGTATTTGACACTTTTATCAGGTCTCAGAAATTGATTAAGTCTGAAACAAAACGATTTGAATCAAGACGAAGATTATATAATTCAACATTTGTATTGCTATCATACATTGAAAACATTAAAGCAAATTTAATCAGCGCTTAACAAAATTCAAAATAAATGATTGTTTGTTACTTAAATATAAAAATATTACAAACATTCTCACTGATATTTTGACTTTTTCTAAAACGTTTATTAAAATTATTTTCACTTATGTATATTTATATGTAAAAAACAACAAAAAAACACTACAATTACTCCTTTTCTCGTGAACTAATCTAACATTAGTTTTCATTAACTTTTCCGCCCATAAAATTATACTATAAATAGATTATAATACGACATTACTCTAAAAAAATATATTTAAATTTTTTTTTGTATTGTAATGTAATCTCATAATTTTCTACATAATATTCATGGAAAATTATGATGCGAAAACCCTTAATCCATTAAAACTCTTTGGACTGTTTTCAACATAGCAAAGAAAACATACATTTAATAAAAGTATTACTCGACGAGTCATGATTATGTTATTAATAATACTTTCTTGAAATTTTTAAGTTTTTAACTAACATTAAATACTTGATAAATCATTTACTTTTTATTTTTATTTTTATTCTAATAAATTTTCGATGTCGTGGACGCGCGTTTTTTAAACATCATATTGTGCTGGGTTAATATTATCTGTCATATTTAAATTAATTGCCAGTATAAAGGCATTTAAAAAAACACCTTGATTCTAATATTTTATACAAATATAACGAAGAATTTCCCTAACGAGTTAAGTTTCGTGTTTCAAGTTGTTGCTACTTGAAATTGTAATGTCTTGTGGCCTCCTGTTGTTCTTTATATCCTATTACACCTGATTTTCAGAGGGGTATAGTAGTTTACTTCAATTATATAAATATTTTCAAACATTTTTGTGAAAATAAAATTAATATGCAAATAAGTGTCGATGAAAAACTATAATGGACAAAAATATTCAAGACATTAAAATGTAAAAAAATTAATTTTTCATAATGTTTAAAAGAAAATCAAAATAGTTTTTAATTGTACATTATTCTTTCATTAAATATGATACATTTACTATTTAATTCTAATGTTGAATATACTTTTATATTAATAAAAAATTGATTATTTGTAAAATAATTGAAGTTAGACTTCAACATATGAATACCAACTTATTTAAATGAAGTATATTTTCTATTTCAAATGTTATTTTTATAAATTTCTAACTTTATATAATTGTACTATTAAAACAATTCTAGTATGGTATACTTCGAGTCTCGGCAATAAAAAATACGTATGTGTCATAAAATACTTTCGGAAAACTAACCTTACGTACCATAACAAGTGTATTAATTGAAAGGTTTATTAAGATCACGTTTAACGGTCACGCGAAAGCACTCAATTCGCAATAGTACTATCCAAAATAGGTAATGCAAAGAAAACAAAAAAAAAAAACAGTAAAAATACTTACACGTTATATCATGATGTTTAACATATAAATTACAA